CACTCTGGGGAACATGTTTCGGGGGATGTTTCACTCAACACTGTTCGTTTATGTTTCACCTGGGAAGCACTGTTCAGGTTAAGTTTTACTCTGGGGAAACATGTTAGTTGATGTTTTACCTGGGAACACTGTTCATTTAGTTTTACTCTGGAAACACGTTCAGTTTGTTTTTCCCCTGGGGAAACACTGTTTTGGGGATGTTTCACCTGGGAACCTGTTCATTGTTTTTCCCTGGGGCCTGTTTCGGTTGAGTTTCACTCTGGGGAACACTGTTAGGTTTATGTTTCACTCTGGGGAAACACCTTCACCTTGATGTTTTACTCGGGAAGCACGTGCAGGTTGATGTTTTCACTCTGGGGAACACTGTTTAGGGTTTATTTTCACTCTGGGGAAACCGTTCAGGTTGATGTTTTTCCCCTGGAAACACTGTTCAGGTTTAGTTTCACTCTGGGAAACACTTTCGGTTTAGTTTCATCTGGAAGCACTGGGAGGTTATGTTTTACTCTGGGGAAACCTGTTCAGGTTTTATGTTTTACTCTGGGAAGCACTGTGCAGGTTTACGTTTCACTCTGGGGAAACATGTTCAGGTTTTACGTTTCACTCTGGAAACACGTTCAGGTTTATGTTCACTCTGGGAAGCACTGTTCAGGGTTTATGTTTTTACTCCCGGAAGCACTGTTCAGGTTATTTTTACTCTGGAACACTGTTCGGGGTTTATTTTTCACTCGGAAAAACTGTTCAGGGTTTGTTTCCCTGGGAACACGTCAGGGACGTTTTACCTGGAACACTGTTCAGGGTTTATGTTTCACTCGGGGAAACACTGTTCAGGGTTTATTTTCACCTGGGGAACACTGTTTAGTTTTGTTTCACTCTGGGGGGGACTTTCTTATGTTTCACTCGGGGAAGCACTGTTCAGGGTTATTTTCACTCGGAACACTGTTAGGTTTATGTTTCACTCTGGGAAACACTGTTCATTGATGTTTCACTCGGGGAACAGTTCAGGTTTATGTTTTCACCTGGGGAAACACTGTTCAGTTGATTTTTACTCTGGGAAACACTGTTTTAGGTTGATGTTTACCTGGGAACCTGTTCTTTTATGTTTCACCTGGAAGACTGTTCAGGTTGAGTTTCACTCTGGGGAACACTGCATTTATTTTCACTCTGGAAACCCGTTCAGGGTTTATGTTTTACTCTGGGAAGCACTGTTCAGGTTGAGTTTTACTCTGGAACACTGTTCAGGTTTATGTTTTATCGGGAAGCCGTTTTAGGGTTTACGTTTCACTCTGGGGAAACACGTTCATTTATTTTCACTCTGGGAAGCACTGGCAGTTGACGTTTCACTTGGGGAAACAAAAGTTCAGGGTTTTTTTTCCCTCTGGGGAAACACTTTCAGGTTGATGTTTCACCTGGGAAGCACTGTTTTGGTTGATGTTTACCTTTGGGGAACACGTTCAGTTGGTTTTTTCTCTGGGGAACACTGTTCATTTTACTTTTTACTCTTTTTCCCAGTCAATTCATAATTGTATTTAAAAAAACTTACTGAAAATTCCTTCTCTTGCATTACCTGTAGTTCCAAAAACCCCGGAGAGGTTTCGGGGTCAACCCCCCATGGCTCGTCGAGCCACCCTGGGATCAGGGGCTATCAACAGCTGTTACTGTTGGCGCACGCAAATGATGATGAACCACAGCCCAGTTTGGGCAGTACGACTTTTTGGGGCCCCATCCCTTTTTGAAGACAGCCAGGGTCTATTGGTAAAACCCCCTTTTTTATGCTGGAAAACATTGAACATCTTGGACCCCCACACTTACGTGTTGTCCTCATGTACTCATTGGGGGCCCCTCTTTTCTCGGGGGTGTTTACCTTCCTGCCATCTTTTCTATCATAGGGTGATTTTCTTTTAAGTTTGGTTCTAAATCCCTCCACCACTTCCAGGATATATCGTGTGTATCTCTCTTGCCTGCATTCCAGGAAACAAAAAGGACTTTAAAAACCCTCTAAAATTTAGGTGCCTTACGCAGTTACGTATTTTGTGAAGGTCTTTGAAAACTTTTCCCTGTCGCAATTTCGCCGCCTGGAAGGGGTCGTTTTGTAAGTATCACCCCAACCCAGGGAAAAACGATTTTAAGAGAATCACAGGGTTTTGGCGTCCCCATTTGAAGGTTCTCATACCATCCATCATTTTTTTACGGTTTAGATACATTTTTTGGAGTCTTCGAAGGGGAGATCCCTGACATTATCACCCAGGGCCTTCACAATTTCTTTTTTGCCTATTGTAGTTAGAATTTTTTGTATCTCGAAAATTTTTAAATTTTATCAAGTTTTCCATATCTGAGTATTTGAAATTTCTCTTCCTTGAACTTCATATTTTTTGACGGGCCCCCTTTTAAAAATTTTGTTGTGTCCACTTGGGGGCCCTTTCGGGGTCTTCGATGGGGGACACGTCTGGGGAATTCGGGGGTCCGCAAAGGAAGACACGGGCTATGGGTTACATCTCGTCTATGTCAGATATGAGATAGGAATAAAGGGAGGGGGTCTGTCCTTTTGGGAAAGAGCTTTTCCCTACACTGTTTTTCCTTTCTCCGTGTTTTATTTGTTTTGGGTTTTAGATCCACTAACCCCTTCTCCTTTATTTTCCCTTTATCACACTTTGTGTACTATAACACCAGGGCACACTTGCTCAAAGGGTTTTGCAAAGTTTTGCGTATTACATCGTATTTTTCTTACCTTAACATCCAACCCTTTTCAAGCGGCCATATTGGGGCGCAGAAACGCCTCCTTAAAAACCCCTGTTTTGCCCGGGTTGTGTAAATGAGTATCTAGGGGCTTTATATCTGCTTCTTGAACCCTTTTTAAAAATTTTTTTTGATAGGAATGTTAGTGCAATCGGGCCTTTTTCTTTGCAAATGCTTTAAATGCACCTTTGTAAGGGGGATTTTTTTGTTTTTAGTGTGGGATGACCCCGGTCCATGCTCCCCTCCAGGGGAAAAGCTGAAGGCTCTTAAGGGGTTTTGCAGTCTTGATGAACACAGTTCCATGAGTCTGGGCCTGGGGCAAGTCAGGCATTCTTTTTTGCATTTTCAAATTTTGGGGGTTAGGGTAAATCAAGATTTTTTGAATACCAAATTTTTTTGGGCTTGTTCATAATAAATTCATTTAGATTGTCAACCCTTAGTCTGGGAAACGGTTCGCTGAACAACAAGTCGTACTGGGACTTAGCATCTCACTCATTTCTTTGCTGTCATCTGTGTGTCCCATCCTGCCTAAGCAGGGGCCCAATACTAGACGTTGTTTTTACCTTAGATTTGACATAAGAGAAGAACTATTTTTTTTTATTTCCTTTATGGCTTATCTCCTATAAGATTCCTTCAGCTTAGGTTTAATATTTGGTATTTCACTGACCAGTGCCTCCCTTCATATTTCAAATATACTGGCCCCTCTCAGCAGCTCTGTGATTCTTTGCCTTTGTCTGTATAGGGAGTGTTTCTCTCTTTCTAGTTTACATCTTCTCTTTCTTTTTCTTAATGGAATGTGCCTTGAGCAGACCTAAAGAACCACAGTTAATTTTATCTAGGCAAAAGTTCGGATCCGTGTTGTTTAGGATATCTTCCCAGCTTGTTTCATTTAGGACATGGTTGACTTGTTCCCATTGTATGTTTTTGTTACTGAAGTTGAATTTTGTGAAGACACCCTCATGACTGATCACATTTTGCTGGTCAGGAGCCCTATGAATACATGTACGTACCCCTATTATGTTGTGATCTGAGTGTATTGTCTTTGATATGGTTATATTACATATCAGATCGTCATTGTTGAAGATGAGGTCCAGCATATTTTCTAATCTTGTAGGCTCTAATATTTGCTGGTTTAAGGTAAATTTAGTGCAGAGATTTAAGAATATCTTTGCTTCTACAAGTACATGTACAAGGGTGATGGGCTGATTACATCATCTTCAAGTCTCTTCTGCTTCTATCAACTTTTCTGTACTCGACTGAAGAAGCCTACTGTGTAGGCGAAACATTTCGAAATAAAGATACCTAACTGTTGCATATGTGGCTTACCTAACAAGGTATACATGCCTAGATGACATCAATGACATACTACTATATAGAAAGCCGCTTGTTATCCTGAGCATTTTGGGCAAATTAGGTCAATTTTGTCCCAGGATGCGACTCACACCAGCCAACTAACACCCAAGTACCCATTTTATATTGCTGGACTAATAGCGACAGTAGCTGTCTTATGGAAATACGTCAATAATGTTCTCCAGCCGGACCTCTGTGTGTGAGCTCGGCGCGCTAGCTCATGTGTAAATTTTCATCTGAGCTGCCTCCTGGGGTGGTCTCTGCTAAAATATTATTTGCTACACTCCTCCATTTTCGGTGTCTCAAGCTGAAATCTCCCAGTAGCAAGATGTTTGGGGTAGGAATTGGGAATTTTCCAGACAGTGGTCAATTTTCAAAAGTTGCTCCTGGAATTGCTGGGAAGTTACATTCGGAGGCTTGTATACAACCACAATGACGAGGTTTTGTTTTTCAGTCTTTACTGCCAAGATTTCAACTACATGATTTGAGGTGTTTAGTTCTGAGCAAATGATTGACTCTGTGATGTACAAGCCAACCCCTCCTCCCCTTGTTGCCCGTTTAGTCTGTCGCATCTGAATAGGTTATAACCTGGGATCCATATTTTGTTGTCAAAATGATCCTGTATGTGGGTCTCTGTGAAAGCTGCAAACGTTGCATTTGACTCCGTGAGCAGTCCCTTAGTGTAAGGAATTTTGTTAGTTCGTTGACGGCTTTATACCCTGTATGCTTGCAAAGACAAATGTTGTTATACTGAATTAATACTCATTTGTACTTTATGTACTACAACTACTACTACCACTACTAGCAATGTTAACAATCAAGGTGAGAAAGAGTGACACACTTGACCAGTGTGTCACAAAGACAAACTGCAACTCCTACTACAACTACTACTAGCAAGGTAAGGAAGGGTGACATAC